GGTTGAGGATACGGAAGGGCGGCCTGATTGCGGTGGATGATGCGCCCGAGGTGGTGCTGGGAGAAATAGGACTGGGCTGCCTGTGCTCGCTTCACTGTTGACAGGGCCTGCAGGGAACGAAGAAGGTCAATGGGGATTACAGGGAGGTTGACTGATGGCACGAGGAGGGAAGGAGGGCTTATGCGCGGTGGGTGATGCGGATGAGATGGTGCTGGGAGTAGTGCGGCGGAGCTGCTGCTTCCGCCTGATCCACAGGTGACAAGGCCTGCACGGGACGGGATAGATACTGAAATGGCAAAGGGACGGCAGAAAGGTTTAGCCTGGAGTCACGACAGCGAGTCCAGCACTCAGAGCTCGATTTGAGAAAAAGTTCAAATCACAATGCTGCTACTTACTTACCAACGTCACCAGAAAATTCAACATCACAGGGTATCACATCACATCCCGAACGCACCTCAGCCTTAGCTGCAAGGCACAAAGCGCCCTGAAGCGCGCTTTGCCCCCACGCTCCAGCACCCTGCTTCTCCCTCCACCACCACTCCCAGCCGCTCCATCCGCCCCAATGCGGGGCACTCCGCCACTCCGCTATCACCCCCACCACCACAGCTACCACCACTACCACCACCACCTGCAGCAGCAGCAGCAGCAGCAGAGGTGGCAGCAGCAGCAGCAGCAGTAGCAGCAGCAGCAGCAGCTGGCGCGTCCTTAACCCCCACCCCCGCCTGTGATCCCCCCTTTGTCACACCCCTGTGCAGCAGCTATCCGACCTTCCCCTGCTACCCCCCCCTCCCTCACCCCTGCTGTGGGCGCTACTGCTGCTACCCCGTGCGCCCTGGCGCGGTCCCAGGCGCGCCACAGGTGGATCTCCAGGCGGCTGGCAACAAAGGCCGCCAGGGGGTAGAACCCTAACGCCTGCAGCCACGGCAGCTCCTCCCAGGAAGACTTTCCCTGGCTGCCGCTGCTGCTGCTGCCAGTGTTGCTGCTGCTGCTGCTGGTAAAAGTATGTGTCCTCGCAGGCGCTTTGGTAAGGAATCCTCCCCACGAGACTTCCTCCATGACCGTGAACAAGAGGTCAACGTTAGCTAGTAACGAGTCAGCCAGTGTGAGGGAATCTACAGACGCCTGTACCTGAAACGAAGCACGAGTACTATCAACTGTACAAATGGCGGAAGAATGCCTTTCCTGCAGGTCATCAGCTGCAGTGCCGCCTCCGCTTCCTCCCTTCCCTAGAACTAGCCCTTCACGCTGAGCGCCATAGGAAGGCGAGGAGGAGGAAAAGAGCTGAAGGGAGGACTCCAGTTGCCTGATGGCCCACTGCTGCCGGCCCAGTCTGGTCCACAGGCCTTCACACCGCTTGAAGCAGATGGCTGGCAGAGGGCCTGCTGCTGATGAGCGGCTCAGATTCCCCCGCCTTCTCCAGCAGCGATGAGGCTCATTTCTTGTGGTGCTGCTTCACTCCGACCATCAGATTCTGACTGTTCCGAAACAAGTGCGCTGCTTCCGTTTCTGATTGTCGGATTTTGACGGTCAGCAAGCTCGCCATTTCTTGGTTGGCATGCGTTCGCCGACCCACCGCCACCGCCAACGCCACCGCCACTGCTACTGCTACTGCTTGACTTCCCTTTCTTCTTACCACCGCCTCCCTTGCTCCCCTTTCCACGACCCTTCGCGTGGCCATGGGAAGGAAGACCCGCAGCAGCAGCAGAGGCCGCCTGACGCGTCTCACCTGCAGGACGACCCCCCGCTGCTGCCGTCTTTTTCTCTGATTCATTTGTGACTGTAACGGGGGCCTGCTCGATCATGTCTGAGAGAACGATGAAGTGACCGGGCCCGTTCATGCGGATGTGAGACGCCATCTGAAGGAGAATCTGCATCCATTGCCGGTCCACAACGGTGAAAGCCCTCCGTCGCGATTCCACGTCCAGCTGGCGTACCCACGCCTGAATCTGCTGCTTCGGTGGATGTACGTGAGGGAAAATCCCAACCCTAGATGCGCCTAACGGCACCTTTCCTCCACCGTCCGATTGAAGATGATGAGTAGTACTAGTGCTAATCCCTCTGGTCGACGGTCTCTGGCTGACCTCCTGCTCGGAAACTCTCGCGGAATTTGATGAGAATGCGCGCTGAGCCGCGCGATGAGCCTCGCGCTGAGCCTCCCGTTGCGCCTCCCGTTGAGCCTCGCGTCTGCTTGCTGTGCGGTGGAACGCGCCGAGGTGCTCCGTCAGCGCGTCCAGGAGCTCCTGCGTTTCCGCCATGGCGGCGTCTTAGAAATTGCTTCTAAAGGGGACACGAAGGAGTGAGACAGAGAGAGAGAAAGAGCCCGAATTCGTGTCGCGCATGTAGGCTTAGCTGTTATAATTACGATTCAAGTGAGAAGCTGGTCTCAGCGGCCTGAGTGACCCATCAGATTGCTTTTCGATTAGGAATGAGCGCATGCATACATGGGTTTATAGTAGAAATCACATACAAAGAAGGTAAATTCAGTGCAGTGTTGATGAACCAACACTAACACTAACACAAGTACAAGGGAGCAAGTCAGTCGGTACTCACACCAACACTACAGAGAGCCAACTTTCTGTACCTAATAAAAAAGCAGCGTATATAGCTTGATATGAATAAGATTAGAAGTTGTACGTACGAATGTGTCACACTAAAATTTGTAGGATGTAAAGAGATAGAGCATGTCAAACATGTGTATTTGTCATGTTTGTATAGACTGTATAGGGTCGTCTCTTAGAGAGTACAACACTTAGATATATCTGTGTGTACACTCTATCTATCATTCACTTCTCAGTTTCTGATATGGTATCAGAGCGTAGGTAGGATCCCCCCCCCCACCTACCGCTTCCGCTCACCCCTCTAGCGCCCCTCCTGGGCCCCGTCGCACCCCTCACTAGACCCCGTCGCGCCCCTCCCAGGCCACGTCGCGCCCCTCCTAGGCCCTGTAGCGCCCCTCCTGGGCCTCGTCGCGCCCCTCCTGGGCTCCGTAGCGCCCCTCCTGGTCCCCGTCGTGCCCCTCCTGGGCCCCGTGGCGCCCCTCCTGGGCCCCGTCGCGCCCCTCCTAGGCCCCGTAGCGCCCCTCCTGGGCCCCGTCGCGCCCTTCCTGGGCCCTGTAGCGCCCCTCCTGGGCCCCGTCGCGCCCCTCCCAGGCCCCGTCGCGCCCCTCCTGGGCTTCGTAGCGCCCCTCCTGGGCACCGTCGCGCCCCTCCTGGGCCCCTGTAGCGCCCCTCTTGGGCCCCCGTCGTGCCCCTCCTGGGCCCAGTAGCGCCCCTCCTGGGCCGCGTCGAGCCCCCCCCTCCTGGGCCCCGTCAGCGCTTCGGCCCGTCGCCAGACCTCCCGGACTGGCACAGTTTGCTTAGTCATAAGATTCAGATTTTTGATATGGACATGGATGCCATTGTTGCTGCTCTACATGTGATGTATGCTGATGACTCTAGTGTGCTTCCCGCTTATTACTCACTGTTGCCTAGTGTAGGTGTGCCTAGCTTAGCCTCCCCTGCTGCGTCAGGCGTAGGATCCCCTGCTTTGTGTAGTCTCGGTGCTTCCGCCGTCGTTCCGTTGCCAGACGCCTCTGCTTCGCTTTCCTTCACCTTGGACTCTGGCGCTTCTCGGTGTTTCTTCCGCGACTCTACCACCCTGACGCCGCTTCCTGTCCCAGCTGCCGTCTCTCTTGCTGACCCCTCTGGCGGTCTGGTCGTCGCCCGCAGTTCCACCACCCTTCCCTGTCCTGCGGTTCCTTCGGGCTCTCTCACAGGTCTGCATATCCCCTCGTTCTCCAGGAACCTAGTTGGTGTCGGCTGCCTCCAGGACCTTGGCGTCACCACTACGTTCCCTGGTCACGAGCGGTATGCTGTCTGTACTGAGGCCGCCACTGGTGCCCCCCTGTCCACGTTCCCCCGGGACCCGGTGTCCGGCCTGTTCACTCTGGACACCGTGACCCCCCCGGCTGGGGCGCCTCCTCAGGTGGCTGCGTCTACCCAGGTTGCTGCTGCCTGCTCCTGTCGGTCCCTCACTCACCCGACTCTCCTTTGGCACCACCGCCTAGGTCACCCTGCGCTCCCGCGTCTGCGTCACATGTCCCAGCACGGTCTTGTCCTTGGTCTCCCAGGTTCCCTCCCCGCGTTTCCCTCCTCCCCAGCCCCACCTTGCACGCCTTGTGTTGAGGGTCGGCTTCGCCGTGCCCCGCACTCCTCCTCGTTTCCCCCTACCGCCGCGCCGCTGCAGACCCTGCACCTGGACGTCTGGGGCCCCGCCCCCGTCCCTGGGCCGCGTCGAGAGCGCTACTTCCTTGTGCTTGTCGATGACTTCACTCGTTACACCACGGTCTTTCCCCTGGAGCGCAAGGCCAACGTGCCTGGCGCTCTCATCCCCTGGCTTGTCTCTGCGCGTGTCCACCGCGGTCTCCCTGTCTTGCGTCTTCACTCCGACAGTGGTGGCGAGTTTGCCTCAGGTGTCCTTGGTCGCTTTTGTCGTGCGGAGGGCATCACCCAGACGTTCACCCTACCGGACTCCCCACAGCAGAATGGGGTCACTGAGCGACGCATCGGTTTGGTCATGGAGGTGGCTCGCACCTCCATGATCCATGCCGGTGCACCCCATTTTCTGTGGCCGTTCGCTGTGCGCTACGCTTCTCACCAGCTTAACTTGTGGCCGCACCCTCAGCAGCCGCAAGTTTCGGCGACTCGTCTTTGGACTGGCTCACTGCCCGCACCCTTCCCTGCGTCTTCCTTGGTTTTCCCCTTGACGCGTCCGACTGGCACTTTTACCATCCGCCGTCTCACCGCTTCTTTCACTCTCGTGACGTCACCTTTGACGAGTCCGTCTCCTATACCGTCGCTTCCCCCACCGTGGTCCCCCGGTTACCCCCCCCCTGTTCCTGGTCACTCCTTCCCCGGTAGTCCCTGCCCCTCCTCCTCCTCCTCCCCGTCCCGCCCCCTCTGGTGTGTCCCACGTCACCCCCCTTCCGTCGGTGGACCCGGTTGAGGAGTCTTCTGACTCTGGTGGCCCTCCTGTTCAGTCCTCGCCGGCCGCCCCTCCCCCAGCGTCCCCTCCCCAGTCCCCCCCTCCACCGCCTCTGCCGCCGCTGCAGCCGTCGTTGTCGCTACCGCCGCCGCCGCCGTCGCAGCACCCGTTCGCTGACTCTGGGGGTGCTCGTCCCGGTAGCTCTGGGGGTGGTCCCTCTGGGGGTGCTGGTGTGGAGAGTGCCGGTGGTAGCCGAGGAGCAGCTTGCGGTCCCGGTGTCGCCGTTGTGCCGCCGCAGCAGCAGTCCCCGCCGGTGTCAGCCCTTCGCCTGCTCGGCCTTCCGTCCCCCGACCCTGCGTCGGTTCCTCCCCGGCCGTCTCCTCCTCTTCCTGTCTACGGCCCTGTCTTCCCTCCGCCGGACTCGTCCCCGGCCCGTCTTCCCCCTCGTTTCCCTCCTGTGTCCCCTCCTCTGTCTCCTGACCCGACTCCTCCGTCGCACGTCTGGTCTCACCGTCCCTCCCGCGCTCGTCCTGCCTCGCCTGTCTTGCGCTCCCACCCTATGTTGCTTCGTTCCCACGCGTCTCGTCCTCCCCTTCTGCCGTCGCCTCCTCCGTCCTCTCTTGTTGTTACAACCCCCCCGCTGTCTGACTACCTTCGTGCCGCTCGTCCCCTTGTTCCTCGGGTCCTTGCCTCTCTCGTTACCGACCCGTCTGTTCCGACCTCGTGCCTTGACGCTCTTGTCGCTGGTATCGCTGACTTCGCCTCTACCCGCCGCCTTGACTACGCCTCCGCTCTGGTCTCTGACCCTGCCTGTCCTCCGTCTGTCGGGGGTGCTCATGCCCTTGGCAGTGACGTCCTGGAGGACCGCCAGTTCGAGCTTGCTTTCCTCTCTGAGGCTGCTCCCCATCTCTGTTCCATGCTGCTAGTCCCTGAGGGTGACCCAGACGCTTTCGACATCCCGACCCCTCGCACTTACGCTGAGGCGACTTCGGGACCCTGGGCCTCGCAATGGATAGCTGCCATGGAGCAGGAGATGGCATCTTGGAGATCCACCGGCACCTTCGTCGACGCAGTTCCCCCACCTGGGGTGAACGTAGTCGATGGCCGCTGGCTCTTCAAGGTGAAGCGCCCTCCTGGAGAGCCGCCTGTCTTCAAGGCGCGCTATGTGGCTAGAGGCTTCAGTCAGCGTGAGGGGGTGGACTTCTTCCAGACCTTCGCTCCGACCCCGAAGATGACTACTCTTCGGGTTCTGTTACACCTAGCTGCTCAGCGTGACTACGAGCTTCACTCCCTCGACTTCTCCACTGCCTTCCTTCAGGGCAGCCTACACGAGCAGGTCTACCTGCGGCGCCCTCAGGGCTTCACTGGCACCTTCCCTCCTGGGACCCAGTGGCTCCTGCGGCGCCCCGTCTACGGCCTGCGCCAGGCTCCTCGTGAGTGGCACGACACTCTCCGTGCTACGCTTGCTGACCTGCAGTTCTTTCCGTCTTCGGCAGACCCTTCACTCTTCGTTCGTGCTGGCCAGACTCCGTTCTACATCCTTGTTTACGTCGACGACCTGGTCTTTGCCACAGCTGACAGGGACGCACTGGCCTCCGTGAAGGCAGAGCTGCTGAAGAGACACACGTGCACTGACCTTGGAGAACTGCGCCGTTACCTTGGCTTGCAGATCTCCAGGGACAGAGCTGCGCGCACCATCACCCTGACTCAGTCACACTTGGTGCGCCAGGTCCTTCAGAGGTTCAGCCTTCAGTTCTCCTCTGCACAGCCCACCCCTCTGCCTGTAGACCACAGGCTCTCCGCTCCAGTGCCTGAGGAGTTGGTAGAGCCCAGCGGCCCCTACGCAGAGCTGGTGGGTTGCCTCATGTACCTGATGACTTGCACTCGCCCAGATCTCGCATACCCTCTCAGCATCCTGGCTCGCTTTGTGGCCACAGGCAGACACCGACCGCAGCACTGGTCTGCCGCTAAGAGGGTTCTGCGTTATCTTGCTAGTACATCGGGCATGGGGTTAGTGCTACGAGGACGCAGGCCAGTGGTCCTTACTGGACACACAGACGCTTCGTGGGCAGACAACGCTGAGACACTCAGGTCTACCCAGGGCTACTACTTCAGCCTTGGCTCAGGTGCCGTCTCGTGGAGAGCTACCCGCTCCTCGTCTGTTGCGCAGTCCAGCTGTGAGGCTGAGATCTACGCTGGTGCCATGGCGGCACAGGAGCTCCGCTGGCTGACCTTCTTGCTCACCGACTTAGGTGAGCGGCCTAGCTGTGCCCCGGTCCTGTTCGCTGACAACAGGGCCATGATCCTCCTGTGTCAGGAGCCTCGACTCGAGGGCAGAGCAAAGCACATTCAGCTGCGGTACTTCCTCCT